AGCCTGAACTACATAGTGAGAACCTGTCTTAAAAATAAATACAAACAAAAAAATTCCCTGTCAGGAATTTCTTTTTTACCTAAGCAAAAGTATAACTTTTGAAGGAAGTTTGGACATAACTATTTATTAACCTCAACCACCAGACAGTGCAAAGGAAAAGTAGTCAAATATTTAGAAGAATAGAATATGGCAGATTCTAATCACCCCTTCAGAGCTTTCTTTGGCTCAATCTCAGCAAATTAACAATGGCTGGATTACTAACCATAGCTGGCAATAAAAAAACTACTCAAAACATAGTATGAAAACTATCAATCTGGAAAAAAAGCAAAAGAATAAGAAAATGACAAGGGAATTCTCCAGGAACCATTTCCTCTCAGGTGGTTTCATGAAACATCTATTTAAGCTCTATTAATTTGTAATTTATGATCATTAAAATTGAAGCTAAGTATACGCAGTACTTTTTAAAGACTATTATGATTAATAATAATGAATATTTACAGGCATACAACCGCATAGTCAATGCTTTTCATACAATATCTCATTTAATTTTTAAACCAACTTTAACAAAGTATTTCTTTCATTTCTAGATGATGCAAATTAAGATTTAAAGATGTAAAGTAACTTCTCCAATGTCACACTTACGCTACGTGAAGAAACTGGATTTGTAAATGAAGTGCATCTAAATCCAAAGCACTGTAATCTTACCTACTACTCAATATGTCACTTAATATCTTAAATCATACAAAGAAATATCACTAATGCCTGATAAGACTTTCAGAAGACTATAGGCACAAATAATTTACTGCAACTATTGTATGATTTTTAACTACTGTATACTGAAATAATTATGTGCTAACTACAAATTATTCTAAGTTCCTTCTCTCCTGGCTGCTTCATCAACTTGCTCATTTACTCATTACATTTAAACATAGTAAACTTAATTTTCCATAAAAATAAACATTTAGTTTATCTTTATATCAGACGATCCCCTATCCTCTGCCCAAATTTGAGTTTAATATTTTCAAAAAAAGCAAATAATTTTATAACATGCTCATAGTATAAAATAAATCCATACACATATTTTCCTTCCACTAAATTTAGATAAAATGTGATTACTGCTAATATTTTCACAGACTACACATACTTATTTTCAACATATGCTTTCAATTTAAGTTGCAAGTAGGACACAATGACCAATTTAAAAGCATTTAAGCAAAGTCCGTGAAGTATGCTGTTGGAATTTCAATTGGGACTACACTGAATCTATACAGCAGTTTTGGAAGTATGACCATTTTTGCTATATTGGTTCTTCCTATCCAGGAGCAAGGGATGTCTTTCCATTTTCTGATATCCTCTTCTATCTCTTTTCACAGAGTGCTGTAATTTTCAGTGTAGAGGTCTTTGATTTCTTTTGTTAGGTTGATTTCACTTTTTGGATGTTACTGTGAAAGAAGTTGTTCCCCTAGTTCCTCTCTCAGTGAGTCTATTGTTCATGTATAGGAAAGCCATTGATTTTTGTGTGTTGACCTTATATCCAGCTACTCTACTGAATTTGGTTATTAAATCTAGAGACTTTTGTTGGAGTTCTTGGGGTCTTCTATATAGAGTATTATGTCATCTGCAAATAATGAGAATTTAACTTCTTCATTTCCTATCTTTATTCCTTTTATTTCTTTCCCCTACTGGGTATCTTCCCCCAAAGAATTAAAAGAATCATACCACAGTGATATATGTGCACCCATGTTCATAGTGGCACAGTTTGTGATAGCTAAAACTTGGAAACAGCCCAAATGCCCATCAAGTGGAGACTGGATAAAGAAGACGTAGTTTTTTAATGAAATGGAGTACTATTCAGCTATAAAGAATGAGAAACTAGAGACATTTATAGCTAAATGGATGCACATTGGGGCCATACTCTTAAGTGAAATAAATAGGAAACACATCTGTAAATACCGAATAGTTTCTCTGGTGTGAGAAACTGAAAGTGTAAATAAGGATCAAAATGTTTAACAGATAATGTGAAACAGGAAGAAAAGGTCCAAAGGGGAAGAAGTGGAAGGGGTAGGGGAAAGGAAAGAAGGGAAAGGAATAAATATGAGAAAAGGAAACAACGGAAACAAAGTCTTTGTAAATAGGGAGGGGTGGAGGGGTTGAATGGAGGGCAAGGGAATGGGGGAAAAATAATCAAGATATATCATGTAAAGGTATAAATTCCCAATAATGAATGTCAGCATATTGTATACCTAAAATGTACCAATAAAATTAATGGGGGAAAAAAATTTAAGCAGAAGATGACTGTTTAGATAATAAGCATAATCCAGTTTCAGATCTCTTTCCATCATGTTTCTTTTGCTTTGCTTTGTGTGATTGTAAGACACCTTTATTAATTTTATTATTGAAAGGCACCCTCATGAAATTATATCCCCAAAGAGAAAATCAATACATACTACTATACTATACTAACATAGGATCAATACAGAAACAAACTGTAAAATATTCAGGACACTCAGAGTTAAAGCCCTAATAGGCTTAACTACAGAAGCATCTTTCATTCTACGATCACATGAAATTGGGCCAGTGACAGATTATGTAGCAAATAATATCCAGGAAAATGTTCATCTATAATCTCTTCGTTTTATATATATAACATTCTATGTGACTATATACTCTGCTATATGATCTCATTCTGAAAAAGAACAGTATAAAAACATGCAAGAAAAGAGTGTTAGCTTAGCCAAAGTGAAAAAAACCCTTGTCTTTTATAATATTAAATATCAAATACAACACTGTATTAATTTTCTGCAAAAATTCAAATATTTATTTCTTCAACCCAGAGAATGGCCCCACCAGTCCGGTCCAATAGCTCCTCTAGTCTGATATTCTGTTTTGGACTGTGTTCAATGGTGGATACCTCACAGGACACCAAAAACACATAACATGAAGAATATAATTATGTACCACTACACCATTATCTTAGGTGGGGGTTAGATTATATCCTCAAAGGAATGAAAACAAATCCCAGTTCCCCACCCTCCTCAATAATTTCCCATAAGGTGATGAGAAACCTCCAACAAGCATACAGTTTACCACGATATGAGCCAATGCCTTAGTAACATGACAACTCACTAAGAAATGATCTACTTAAATGAAAAGCTGAACCCAGAAATAGAACATAAGCTCATCAAAACTTGTGATTTGTAAAGCGAGATTTCAATAAATTGAAAAGTATCAGAGTTTTTAAAATGCTTACAAAACAGGTAAAATTTAATTAAACCTTTAAACAAATAAAAACTACCATTTCATTCCAAGCCATGCTATTGTGTGATTTGTAATAGTTTTCTAGGGAGTAATATCAGCATTTCTAACTCTTCGGAGAAATGACATTCACACCTGTTTCGTAATGGTTTTAAATTAAAGTTTAGATTTATTAAATGTTCATCTCAGTGTGCAAAACCACATAATGCATAAATCTGGCCCTTTAGGACATACTATTTCCTAAACAATTACAGGGGGAAAAAAATCATACTATATTTTTAAAGAACTTTGGAAAGGATAATTCTCTTGGTAGTATCCATGGGTATTGATTTAACAACTCTTGTAGTCAGGAAACAGTTCCTGACCTAAATCTTCCATGGTATAATTTGAATTCATTTTCTTTTCTGCTGACCTCAAATGAGTTGGGGGCTATTAGGTCATATCACATGATTTCATTATTTGTAAACCTTTATTAATGTCTCCTTTCTGAAGTTACTGCATTGCAGGATTATGAACCAGATACAGCCCAATGCTGAGTAGAACTTTATGGTTTTTATGTGTTATATACCATAAACCAAAAACAGATCTCAAAAATTACTTATTCACACTTTTTTTTATCAAAGACTGCTCCTCTTCTTAATATATTCTTACAAAAGTATCTGTATTTTAAGACAAACAGTAAAAATTCAGAAAAGGGAGGATGTAAGAGATGGGAGCAAGAAACAACGCATATAAAATTCCACAAAGAAGGCCAGGGATTTAGCTCAGTGATTCCGCTGCCTGCCTCGAAAGCAGAAGGTCCCAAGTTCGATCCCTGGCACCAAAAAAACCCCTAAAATTCCACAAAGACACTGGCTCCTTCTCTAGAGCAGAGATCATTTGATGAAATGTGTCTCAGAGCCTCAGGGACAGTGTTGACACAGCGAGGCAATATCATAAACTCTACAGCTGTGCTGCTGCTCTCCACAGTCCATGCTCCTTCCTTAGACCCGGGAAGCCAAAACACGTAGTGTCAGGTTGGAACTTACCTTCACGCGGATCGGCCAAAAGCCACAAAGCGGTTATGATACAGAAAGCACCAAAGCAGTTAGTAAACAGTATGCAGTCAGTGAAGGTAGGTCTTTACCACACTCTATAATGACTGAAATGAGGGGTTTAACACATTTCTCAGAATGTAATGTACACTAATTTAAGAAACAGATATCATTTATGAAATTCAAAGAAGAGGTATCATTTATGAAAAAAAGTTATTGAAAAGATTGTATACAAACATCAGAACTTTCTATTCAATTTTTTCAATCCAATTTGGAAACAGTTCCCAAAAAAGCTGTTTCCAAATATCAAATCTTTTCCTCAGGAATAAAAAATATAGACTATTAACTAAATACCACAGATGGCAGCCTAAAAAACAACACTATTTCTCACAATTCCAGAGACTCAGAAGTCCAAGATCAAGGGGCTGGCACGTTCAGCATCTGGTGAACGGCTTCTTCCTGGTTTATGGATGTCCACTTTCTTGCTGTATTCTGCCATGGCAGAGAAAGAGATCAACTCTTTCACACAGCATCGCTTCTTATGAAGGCATTAATCCCATTCAAGAAAGACCTACTTACCCCCCTGAAACCCCTCCTCCAATTTCCATCATCTTGGGGATTTGAGCTTCAAAATACAAATTACCAGGGGGACAAAAACATTCAGTCCACAGCAGCAAATAAATTTTACATAAATAAGTAGTAACCACTTACTTTTATTGCCCACCAAAGCAATCAGTGGCTGAATTTCTGATTCCTCACTCACTTTCTTCACCACAGTATACCAGTCTTCTAAATTCTCAAAGCTTTGATAATTTGTAATATCGTATACCAAGAGGATTCCCTGTCATGAAAGAGTTACAGAATTTTTGTACTGTATTACTTGAAAAAATATTAATAATAAACACTCTTAAGTGATGCTTCAGGTATGTCAGGTAGGGTATAAAAATATAAATGTGGGGCTTTTAATATACAAATTGACTTCATTTAAATTACTTCCTAGCAAATAAATGATAATGAATGGTTCCATTCAAGATATATCCAGCAATTAGGATGTATGCAAGGTAAAACATAATTTTATCAAAATTATAAGTTGTTTCCATTAAGATATATGAGATAGGCCTGGTAAATTGCAGTAAATGTAAGAAAATTCTATCACAGAAGTAGAAAAGGCTGCAAAGTCTACAATCCTGCCTCTCACTTTCATGAGGTTATCTACATTTTTCAATAAATAACCATCTGCTTGCCTCTCTCTTTAAATATTTTCAAAAATGGATATTCCATGCCATCCCCTGATAGTCAATTTAAGTGTTTAACACAATTTTCTTTAAATAAATGTCGATTTCCTCTTTTGGTCCTCTGTGCATTCGGAGAACAATTTGAGAGTATCTTCCTTACAATAACCCTTCATATTCTTGAAGATAGTTAAGTAACTCTTTTACTGTCTGCTTTCCAGAGTAAACAAACTCAGTTCCTTAAACATTCCTCCAAGGGCCAATTTTTTGTGCCTTTAATCATAGTTGTTGATTCTTCCCAGGACACATCACATATAGTTTTTTGACATCCCTTTTAAAATGAGCACTGTAAAACTGGACATGATACTGTAATAAGAGTCTACGCAGAGCCAAATACAACAGAAGGATTGCTTCCTGTCTCTTATATATCATATTCCTTTTAATTTATCTCATTATTTTGTGGGGGAAGAATAAGGAGTACATACATACACAAAAATAACATTCTTGATTCTCATCCAGTTTGTGGTCAAACACTTAATACAAAGCTCTACAAGACATAGAAGTAGAAGTCTTGACGCTAAAATGGTACTCATGTCTACTTCTGATATAATAATAAAAGTCAACCACTTTTTGTACATACTATGCAACAGCTGCTTATGTTTTTTCACTAATCCTCACAACAATCACAGGAGGCTACCAATATTATTCCCATGTAACTGATAAACAAAGGCTACAAAAACAAGATCAGACATATTACATGATGGAGACAAGATTTGAATCATAGACTCAATGACCAAAAAAATACTTTCTGCCAACTCTACACTATGCATTATGCTGGATACTAAGTACAGAAGTTCCAAATCTCAGAGGACTAACAGTCTTGCAGCAGAATCAGACACATAAACACACAAGTATACAACACAGCAGTCATGGAGGCTAACACGCTGGTAAATATTAATCAAATGGCTTGGGCTTGGTGAGGGCGAGGGTGGCAGTATTACGTGTTGCATACACCAATTTTCGTGGGGTAAGAACTCCCCTGTGGCCACTGTCAAGCATCAGCGTGACATCACCAAGCGCAGAGCTGGTAGGACACCATTATACCATAAAGAATTTCTACTATACAGATACACTAAGTGTAAATAACTCAAGACCACAGTTAAGAAAAATAAATCAGTTAAGTGTTGCATTTGAGCACAAAATAACTTAGTTTTCACATAATTTGTGAGTCTATATAAAACTTTTAATTTTTAGTATATTCAATAATCGGTTTACAAAAATTACTGAAATTTTACCAACTCATTTTCTGAAGCCAGAACAAGCTGACCCTAGCATATAGCTCTCAGAATATTCTAATACCATGTTCTTTTGTTTAATCACAATAGAATGAAATTACCACCTTCTTTGGACAGGTTTCTTGTCTCTAAAACTAGGTCTTTGAGGTAGTCTCTAAGATTCCTTTCAGTTTAAATATTCTGTAAGTTTTACACAAAACTATTTGTCTGATTCATTTCAGTAACTTCAGGTCTTTTTCTGTCTATCTTTGAAATGCGTAGAAATAATTTTCAATATAGAATTATCTGAAATAAGGAACATAAGTTCACTTTCCCTAAAAAAAAAGAATATTGGGAGAATGTGGGGGATAAAAAAAAAAGTTCACTTTCCTTAAAAATAAAGCACAAAACTAACTTCTGATGATAACTAATCCTCAATCTACTAACCCTGTCTCGAGTTGCTATTAGTATTTGTTGAAAAGAGGTCTACTTCTACTTCTTTGAGAAATGTCTGTTCATTTCAGATGCCCATTTTCGGATTGGGTCTTTAAAATGGGAGGTCTGATCTTTTTAAATTCTTTATAAATTCGAGATAGTAGAACTTTGCCTGAGGAAGAGCAGGTGAAGATTTTTTCCCACATTGTGGGTTGTCTCTTCACACTGCTGGTGGTTTCTCTTGCTGTGCAGAAGCTTTTAATAACGAGAGATCCCACTTGTTGATTGCTTGTGCTAGTTCATGGGCAACTGAGGTTTTGTTCATAAAATCTTTTCCTACACCGATGTCTTCAAGGGTTCTACCTAATCTCTGTTCCAACTGGTTCAGAGTTTCTATTTTAATATTTAGATCTTTAATCCATTTTGATTTTAGTTTAGCGCATGGTGAGAGATACAGGTCTAGTTTTAATCTTTGTCAAGCTGAAGCCCAATTTTTCCAGCACCATTTATTAAGGAGGCTATCTTTCCTCCAGTGAGGGTGTTTGGCTCCTTTATCGAAGATGCGATGGCTGAGTGTGTCTGGCGTTGTTTCTGCATCTTCTAATCTGTTCCACTGGTCCTCAGGTCTGTTTCTTTGCCAGCACCATGCTGTTTTTATCACAGTAGCCTTGTAGTAGAGTACAAATAAATACATGAAAAAATGTTCAACATCACTGGTCATTTGAGAGATACAAATGAAAACAATGCTGAGATTCCACCTCACTCCAGAAAGAATGGCTGCTATCAAGAAATCAACCAATAACAAATGCTGGCGGGGCTGTGGGGAAAGAGGAACCCTGCTCCACTGCTGGTGGGAGTGTAGACTGGTGCAAGCATTGTGGAAATCAGTATGGAGATACCTCAAAGAACTAGGACTGGAAGTCCCATTTGACCCAGTTATTCCTCTGCTGGGAATCTTCCCCAAAGAATTAAAAGAATCACACCACAGTTATATATGTGCACTCATGTTCACAGCAGCAGTTTGTAATAGCTAAAACTTGGAAGCAGCCCAGTTGCCCATCAACTGGGAGACCGGATAAAGAAAATGTGGGGTTTTTTTTAATAAAATAGAGTATTACTCAGCCATAAAAGATGAGAAATTAGAGACATTTATAGCTAAATGGATGAACATTGAGGCGATACTCTTAAGTGAAATAAATAGGACGCACATGTGTAAATACCAAATAGTTTCTCTAGTGTGAGAAACTGAAACTGTAAATAAGAATTAAAAGGTATAATAGATAATGTGAAATAGGAAGAAAAGGGGCAAAGGAGAAGGGGAAGTGGGAGGGGTAGGGGAAAGGAAAGAAGGGAATGGAATTTATATGAGAAAATGAAAAAATAGAAACAAAGTCTCTGTAAATAGGGAGGGATGGAGGGGTTGAAGGGAGGGCAGGGGAAGGGGGAAAAATAAGAACCAAGAGAGATTATGTAAAGGTGCAAACTTCCAATGATGAATGTAACTGTATTGTATACCTAAAATGTACCAATAAAGTAAAATTTAAAAAAAAAAGAAAGAAAGTAACTAAGACAAGTGTGAAGAGACACCCTACAACTTGGAAGAAAATATGTGCAAACCAAACATCCAGGATGAGGTTAATATCCCAAGTATAAAAAGACCACACACACACAAAAAAAACCACAACCAGTACCACAAAAAAAAAAAAAAAGGAGAACTCAAGTCAACAAGAACAAAAACTTGTTTAATCAACAAGGAAACTGAATAGACATTTCTTAAAAGAGGTCAAACAGACATAGGAAAAAATGCTTAACATTTTATTATTTTTTTTTTTTTTGGTACCAGGGATCGAACTCGGGACCTTGCGCTTACAAGGCAGGCGCCGGCACCACTGAGCTAAATCCCCAGCCCTCAAATGCTTAACATTTTAATCACTAGAAAAATGAAAATCAAAACCACAATGAGATAACATCTCCCAAGTGTCAGAAGGGCTGTTATCAAAAAGACAAAAGATAAATCCTGGCCGTGGTGATACAATCCTGACACTCCAGGAAGCAGAGGCAAGAGGGTTGCAAGCTTGAGGGCAGCCTGGGCAGTCTAATAACATTTGACCCTGTCTCAAAATTTAAAAGGGACGGGGTGCAGCTCAGTGTGAAGGCCCTGGGTTCAATCTCAATCTCCAGGAACAAAAATAATAATAATAAATTTAAAAAATAACAAATGTTGGCAAGGATGTGGAGAAAAGAGGAAACTCGCATACTGTTGGTAGGAATATGTTTGTATGGCCATTAGGCCATTATGAAAAACTGAATAGAGTTTCCACAAACTACTAAAAATGGAATTACCATAAGAAACAGCAATCCTACTTCTGAGTATTTGCCCAAAAGATGTAAAGTCAGTTTGTCAAAGAAATGTCTGTACTCCTATGTTCATTTCAGCCTTATTCACAATAGGCAAGTTATGGAGTCAATTTAAATGCCCAACAATACAGGAATAAAGAAAATACAGTATATATGAACACTGGAATACTAATCAGTCTACAAAAAGAAAGAAATTCTGTCATCTGTAACATATTTGATATTGGAGAACTTAAAATGGTAAGTGTAATAAGCCAGGTACAAAGACAGAACACACTCTCACTTATATGTAGAATCTAAAACAACCAAGCTCATAGAGTGGTGGGCCTGAGGATTTAGCTCAATGGTGGCACACCTGCCTCACAAGCACAAAGTCCTGAGTCCAATCCCTGGTACCAGAAACACACACACAACATCGAAAGTGGGGTAGTAAGTTCAGAGGTTGAGGAGTGGGAGGAATGGGGAGATAATGGCCAAAGGGTACAGCATCTCACAGTTAAATAAGAATACTTCTTTAAATAAGAATACTTTTTAAAGTAAGAATA